TGGACTGCTGCAGCCTGTCCTCATTCCTGGCTGTAGCATTTGTTGTGGGCCAAGGGTGTTGCTCTGCTGGGGAGGACTGTTCTCATGGCGAGCAGCATCTTGGCTCAGGGCGAGCAGCCTGCAGCAGTGGCAGGAGTCTGTGCCTCTTCCTTCCACGCTGGAGTCCAGCGTGTGCCTCTCCTGGTAGGTCTTGCTTCTGGCACAGACCTTCCCCCTTTACCTGCTCCCCAGGGGACCAACAGCTTCACTATTTCTTCAGAGCTGGAATCACTTTATCTGGCATAAGTCACTTTTGCTAGGTGTCTAGTCTAGAGTCCTTGGGAGGATGGGAGCCTGGAGAGCAGCTCGGTGTAGCCATGCCTCTGCAGTGCCAGCTCCCTGGGGATGGATGGACTTCTCCAAGCGAGTGGGTTTTACCATATCCACGTGCACAAGGCTTATGGATTCCTCCTAGCCCAGGACAGGGCTTACCAGCCAGGGGCTGCCGCAGCAGACCTGGGGCTGAAAGCATCAGCTGTGTCCTGCCTGGTTCCTTCACAAGGGCGTTAACTGTAGCACTGTCCATCAGCTTTCTCTCTAATACTCATCTGAAGTCATAATTCACTGGCTGATCAGAGCTACCCAAGAGGGATTGTGGGATAATCTGCATAATAATATTGGGGAATTAGTCAACTCCTGAAGAATATCTGAGCAGCTGGCTATAGGCCATGAGTGAATATGAATTAAATATGTAATGTAATTAATATCTTTCAAATAAATGTCAGGGATAGGGCTCCAAACACCCGTCTGTTGAGTTCCTTCCCCTGTGTGCCACCTCTCTCCTTTTGGGAAAATATGCTGGAGTTCTTCCCCAGGTGCCCTCTGCCTCTTCCCCTCCCAGCAGAATAAAGCTGTACTTCTTCCTTTAAACACTGGTTATTTGTGTGCTTGGTTCAGAGGAGGAATCCTGCGAGGGGAGCTGCAGCCACTCGCGTGCGGGAATAACATCTCTCTGAGCTCCCTTCTTGCGCTGTGGTGTGCAGATACATCCCTCTGAACCGTCTGCGTGTGGTGTGGGTTGGTTTGCACAGCTTTTCCAGGGAGCAGCTCAAGCGCAAAGCTTGTGCTCGGTGGGTCACAGCCAGTTTGCTCGAACCCGGAGCCGAGTTCCCCTCGCCGCAGCGTGCGGAAAGTCGTGAACGATGGCAGAGAGGCCGGGGCTCCCTGCCTGCATGCTTGGAAAGTCCTGCATCGGTTTCATGTGGCTAACATGGGAGAGGTCTGCTTGGCAACCATGGAGGCTCGGAGGCTGCTGCGTCCTGTCTATATTTAAACAAGTTCTGGAGGAGGGGAAGGCTTTTGCTTGAGAAAGCATCCTGTTGCTGCAAGTGTGCTGCGGCTGAATCACCATCTGCGGTTGCTTTGGGTCGTGGCAAGGTGTGTGCAGGCAATGTGGATCTGGGGAAGGGGCTGAGCAGAGGCGAGGAGCCTTGTCCTGCCTCGCGTCTTCCTGCGGATGAGATGTGTCACACAGGGCTGAGCTAGGGATGAGGCTCAAATCCCAGAGTTTCTGTATTGGGATTCATCTATAGCATCACGTCATCTTCCTCAAGTCATCCTCTGTTTGCCTCTGCAGTCCTGGGATTCTCAGAGAAGAAACAATTGTCATCTTCACCCCTGGGAGAAGCGGTTGCTGGTAGGACCCAGGCAGTTAGGAACTGGCAAAGGAAGGAATGGGAGCCCAGGTTGTCCCTTCGAGTGGGTGCTGAGCACGTGTGTCAGCACCATGCATCCCCTGGGGCACCGTGCATCCAGGCCGGTTGCATCCCAGTGTAGAATTTCACAGGCGTGATCTGGTCTTGGCCAAGATGTCTTTCTGAGCATCTGCAGGCCTCCCCAGAGCCTTAACTGCTATAATTTCCAGTTATTAGTAGATTTTTCACACTTCTGATTAACATCAGTCACGCGTACGCGTGCAGTGCTGGTTTGGGAGCAGGGGGTTTGAGCAGGGGACATGAGTCAGTCATTTGAAGGGGCGCTTCCTGACAGTAGGAGTTTCTGTTCCTGCTGCATAGGGGAATTTGTAACCTCTCTGTTTCTGGTTTTTCTTCCTCCTTAACACAGGGTATTTATTGACCAAGGGGAAAAAACTGCCTGTCCGGCTGTAGGAGGTATTCAGACTGGCATCAGGGAATGCCCCTCATGAACCATTCTTGTTTCCAACATCTGCAAATGATGCGAAGAAAGGAAAAACTTTCTTTACTTAGACCTGAGGTGGGCGTTATTTCTTACTAGCCCCAAAAAGAAAGCTGCAGAAGTCCTCGCCGAGGTTTGCTGTCCCACTAAAGCAAGCAAATGGGTTGGAGGGACCTGCCGTGTGCTCTGCTGTCCCTGTGTCCCGCTGCGGTTATGCAGGTATCATGTGTGAGCAGTGGCCTGACCCACACCCTCCGTTTTCTGCGGGACCAGGGTGACACATGTGCCTCTTCCCAGAGGTGACATCCCTGCCCGCCTGTGCAACACGGTACGCTGAACCTGAGCTCAGTCCTGAGAGCAGGATGTCCTTGTGATCATCTTCCTCACCGCTTCTGACAGCTCTCCAAAACCCACCAGAGAAAAGGGAAGGGTCTGTAGCATCTGCCTGGATGCTTTTGCGAGGGGCACTTGCCACCCTAGAACACTGGATGGTAAATGCAGCCAGAATACATTCTGATCCTCATCCTGGGCCCCGGTGGGAGGACGGACGTGTGAGCCAGGGCTTGTGTTCCTGTCTCCAGCTGATAAGGGCTGCTTTCTCCTCGGCTTTTTCTCACCATCATGTGTCTCCGGTTGTGGGGTGTGGAACAAGAGGGTGATTTTAAGAGCTGATGGGGACTCTTTC